CCCTCTTTACAGATTTTCGAAAGGTGATTTCACGAGCTGCGGCTTCTCGAGCTGCAGCTTCACAAGCTGCAAATTCACGAGCTGCAAATTCATGAAATGCGGCTTCACGAGCTGCGGCTTCTCGAGCTGCAGCTTCTCTAGCTGCGGCTTTACGAGCTGCGGCCTCACGAGCTGCGGCCTCACGAGCTGCGGCCTCACGAGCTGCGAATTCAAGAGCTGCGGCTTCTCGAGCTGCGGCTTCTCGAGCTGCGGCTTCTCGAGCTGCGGCTTCACGAGCTGCGGCTTCACGAGCTGCGGCTTCACGAGCTGCGGCTTCACGAGCTGCTGCTTCACGTGCTGCGGCTTCACGAGCTGCGGCTTCACGAGCTGTGGCTTCACGAGCTGCGGCTTCTCGAGCTGCGAATTCAAGAGCTGCGGCTTCTCGAGCTGCGGCTTCTCGAGCTGCGGCTTCACGAGCTGCAGCTTCACGAGCTGCAGCTTCACGAGCTGCGGCTTCACGAGCTGCTGCTTCACGTGCTGCGGCTTCACGAGCTGCGGCTTCACGAGCTGCGGCTTCACGAGCTGTGGCTTCACGAGCTGCGGCTTCTCGAGCTGCAGCTTCTCGAGCTGTGGCTTTACGAGCTGCGGCCTCACGAGCTGTGGCCTCACGAGCTGCGGCATCATGAGCTGCGATTTCACGAGCAGTTGCTCTGCCCCTCTTTACAGATTTTCGAAAGGTGATTTCACGAGCTGCGGCTTCACGAGCTGCGGCTTCATGAGCTGCAAATTCACGAGCTGCGAATTCATGAAATGCGGCTTCACGAGCTGCGGCTTCTCGAGCTGCAGCTTCTCGAGCTGCGGCTTTACGAGCTGCGGCCTCACGAGCTGCGGCCTCACGAGCTGCGGCCTCACGAGCTGTGAATTCAAGAGCTGCGGCTTCTCGAGCTACGGCTTCTCGAGCTGCGGCTTCTCGAGCTGCAGCTTCACGAGCTGCGGCTTCACGAGCTGCGGCTTCACGAGCTGCTGCTTCACGAGCTGCGGCTTCACGAGCGGCTTCACGAGCTGCGGCTTCACGAGCTGCGGCTTCACGAGCTGCAGCCTCACGAGCTGCAGCCTCACGAGCTGCAGCCTCACGAGCTGTGGCCTCACGAGCTGCGAATTCAAGAGCTGCAGCTTCTCGAGCTGCAGCTTCTCGAGCTGCGGCTTCTCGAGCTGCGGCTTCACAAGCTGCGGCTTCACGAGCTGCGGCTTCACGAGCTGCTGCTTCACGAGCTGCGGCTTCACGAGCTGCGGCTTCACGAGCTGCGGTTTCAAGAGCTGCTGCTTCACGAGCTGCGGCTTCACGAGCTGCGGCTTCACGAGCTGCGGCTTCACGAGCTGCTGCTTCACGAGCTGCGGTTTCACGAGCTGCGGCTTCACGAGCTGCGGCTTCACGAGCTGCGGCTTCACGAGCTGGGGCTTCACGAGCTTCGGCTTCTCGAGCTGCAGCTTCAAGATCTGCGGCTTCAAGAGCTGCGGCTCTACGAGCAGCGGCTTTACGAGCAGCGACTTCACGAGCTGCGGCTTTACGAGCAGCGGCTTCACGAGCTGCGGCTTCACGAGCTGTGGCTTTACGAGCAGTGGCTTCATCATGTTCTCTGGCCTCGGCCTCTCTTGCCTCTGCCTCCCTGGTTTGGGCCTCCCGGGCCTCGGCCTCCCTGGCCATTTCTTCTCTGGCCTTTGCCTCTCTAGCCTTTGCCTCTCTAGCCTTGGCCTCCCTATCTTGTCCATTGCGTGCCGCAATTTCGCGATGGATGTCTTCACGTTGGGCGGCTGCTACTACGGCTGCTTTCCGAGCCGCTACTTCGTAAGCAACTGCCCTCCTAATGGTGGCGTCTCGCTCAGCCTCTTTACGCGCCGCAACTTCAAGAGCCTTGTTCGCCCGTCGAGCTGTTTCGTTCATCTGCTCCCTTGTCAAACCTGGCTGCCTGTGGACATCGGTCCTGAGCATGTATCGTCTAGTGAAGATATGATCAGCGGGAGTTGGTGTTCTAACGCCGGACAGTGGCATTGACATTTTGTCGAAAACACTAGTATGTTTACCTGGAGTTTACCTGGAGAGAGAACAGAGTTAGATATTGTAACTTAATTAGGTTTGAAGTTCATCGAATATCCAGTTTGAATAATTATAGTGACATTGGAATTTTAACTGACTTAGGTACGAAGTTCTATAGAATATCCAGTGTGAATAATTGTAGTGACATAGGAATTGCGTGTGAATCATTTTACTAGTGGCAGTGATAGTGCGTCATAGTAGTAGTGGTAGTACATTGTAGTACTAGTAGTAGTAGTAGTGATAGTAGTAGTTGTGATAGTAGTAGTGATAGTAGTAGTAGTGATAGTAGTAGTAGTGATAGTAGTAGTGATAGTAGTAGTAGTGATAGTAGTAGTAGTGATAGTAGTAGTAGTGATAGTAGTTGTGATAGTAGTAGTAGTGATAGTAGTAGTAGTGATAGTAGTAGTAATGGTAGTAGTAGTAGTGATAGTAGTAGTAGTGATAGTAGTAGTAGTGATAGTTTACCTGGAGTTTACCTGGAGAGAGTTCCGGGGGTCAACGCCCCCGCGGCCCGGTCTGAGACCAGGCCTCCTGGTGGATCAGAGCCTGATCAACCAGGCTGTTGCTGCTGGCTGCACGCAAACCAACATACGAGCCACAGCCCGGCTGATCCGGAACTGACTTTAGGTGCTTGTCCAGTGCCAGCTTGAAGACTGCCAGGGGTCTGTTGGTAATCCCCCTTATGTGTGCTGGGAGGCAGTTGAACAGTCTCGGGCCCCTGACACTTATTGTATGGTCTCTTAACGTGCTAGTGACACCCCTGCTTTTCATTGGGGGGATGGTGCATCGTCTGCCAAGTCTTTTGCTTTCGTAGTGGGTGATTTTCGTGTGCAAGTTCGGTACTAGTCCCTCTAGGATTTTCCAGGTGTATATAATCATGTATCTCTCCCTCCTGCATTCCAGGGAATACAGGTTTAGGAACCTCAAGCGCTCCCAATAATTGAGGTGTTTTATCTCCGTTATGCGCGCCGTGAAGGTTCTCTGTACATTTTCTAGGTCGGCAATTTCACCTGCCTTGAAAGGTGCTGTTAGTGTGCAGCAATATTCCAGCCTAGATAGAACAAGTGACCTGAAGAGTGTCATCATGGGCTTGGCCTCCCTAGTTTTGAAGGTTCTCATTATCCATCCTGTCATTTTTCTAGCAGATGCGATTGATACAATGTTATGGTCCTTGAAGGTGAGATCCTCCGACATGATCACTCCCAGGTCTTTGACGTTGGTGTTTCGCTCTATTTTGTGGCCAGAATTTGTTTTGTACTCTGATGAAGATTTAATTTCCTCATGTTTACCATATCTGAGTAATTGAAATTTCTCATCGTTGAACTTCATATTGTTTTCTGCAGCCCACTGAAAGATTTGGTTGATGTCTGCCTGGTGCTTTGCAGTGTCTGCAATGGAAGACACTGTCATGCAGATTCGGGTGTCATCTGCAAAGGAAGACACGGTAGTAAGTAAGCGATTAAATTAAGTCTGCCCATAATGCCTAGGCATGATAGTGGCTCTTTGCACTGCAACTTATTATTGTAATTTCATGATATCAATGTAATCTTGCAAGGAAATAAAATTTGATTGACTGATTGAATGACAGTGATTGTAAATTCGCCGCCACCTTCAGACAACTAATTCAAATTCAAATTCAAAGTTTATTCTCTATAAAGATTACAATGTTGAATTTACAGAATTTGGTTATTGTGTGGTTTACAAGTAGTTAAATAATGATTACAGAGTGTACCACTAGAACGCCTAGCATGGCTAGGCATTTCGGGCAGACTTAGTTTAATTATTTATTTTAAAATATTACAAATTATGAGGTAAGTTGGTATTATGGCTAAGTGACTAAATACTAGTTTGTGAGTTTAGCAATGTGAATGCTTTTGTTTTGGCACAGTACATAGTTTCAGTATTGGAGTATCATAGGATTCATTATTTTAAGATTGAGATTAATATTTCTGTTTATGGTCAAATGGGTGAGTGAAAGTGTGTAAGTAAGTAAGTAAGTAAGTTTATTCAGGTATACACAAATACAGTTACATAGGTTATCATACATAGCAGCATATGTGTAGAGAACCTGGGATAACCCAAAAAAGTCAGAGTGACTTATTTCCACCAGGTGGTATTCGTGTAGTTAGTTGATGGGGTGTATCAGGGAGATAAGATGTTTTCTAATGGTAGTTTTGAAGGTGATGAATGTGTCTGCAGTTCTAGAGTTCTCGGGTAGGGTATTCCAGATTTTAGGGCCTTTGACATACATTGAATTTTTGTAAAGGTTTAGTCGGACTGCTCCCTTGTTATAAAATATTATAGTGACGTCTTGTGGTGACTTCCTCGCTCATGGTAACTTACGTATCTTTCCTGGTAGATATTATAGTGTAGGAATGAATAATAACTGGTAATTAACCTTGTTTAATGAATATTATAGGCTGCTTAGAGCTCAGGACAATTGCTCTACACTCAGATAATTTTAACTAACAACTAAATACAAATGGGTCGTATATTTTTATTAAGGTCATTATTTGAAAAGAATATGCAGTGCTACTTATATTACTAATAAAATTATAACGATTAATACACAATAAATTTTGAAAGATGGACTACCATTATGTGACATTCTAAACTAAATTTCATCACATATAAAATCCTTCAGTCACGCAAGAAATAAACTGAATTTATTAACAATCATACTACTACTACTACTACTAATGAAATAAATGTTTATTTACTCGGTAATGAAGCATTCCATTAATCACAGAGCATTTACATTTGCTGAAAATTTTGCTGCGCAAATTTTCTTCATACAAATAAATGTACCTTTGAGAAGCAATTATAGCAGGATAAACTTACTTTTAATTATAAATAGCATATAGTGCCTTCCGTCAATTAAATTACTAGCTGAGTTACAGTGTCGAGTGTGTTGGGGAGGGGGGTGGGTGGGGGGAGGAGCAGTGTTGATACACACCATCATCACCATCACTGTCATGTTCAAGAAACGTAAAAATATTAATATTCGCCAGCGTCGTGTGAGTGAGGATGATGGTGGAGGAGAGAGTGATAGTGTTGGTGATGACAGTAACTCGACCAGCACCGTCATCAAGAAGGAGAAGAAGAAGATCAAGGAGAAGACTGAAGCCAAGAAGCAGTCCATTTTAAGTTTTGAAGACGAGCTTGAAGGTTACTCTACCTCTTAATTATACGCAACTTGCCTTATTAATACGCTATTCTATATAGTTTTTACCCTGATTTGTATCATATTTTATGTTAATTACGGATGTTGTGTGTATCTCAGCAGTGTACACTCGCAGTCATACATATATACTGTTTTGTATGATAATTAATGTAACTATTTATGTATACCTGAATAAACTTACTTAAAGTTAAGTTTATTCAGGTACACGTTCTTGTCCTCACACACTGAGGGTCCGTGGTTCAATCACCGGCACGGGTGGAAACGTTGGCCATATTTCCTTACAACTGGAGTTTACCTGGAGAGGGTTTTGGGGGTCAACGCCCCCGTGGCCCGGTCTGAGACCAAGCCACATGCTGTTACTCTTTACCTAGCAGTAAGTAGGTACCTTAGCTGACTAGCGTGGGTCGCATCCTGGGGGTACAAGATTGAACGACCACAATGGAAATATGACACAGTCCCCGATGACGACTTTCTTGGGTTGTCTTGGGTACTTAACCCTCCAGGTTAAAAATCCAAACAAATCTACCCGGTCGCTCGCCAAGGACTATCATTCACTTCTAGATGAGGGGAAATATGTTCATGTTTTTTTTATCTGGTACCCTCAAGGGAGGTTCCTTGATGCTGGTGAGGGGCTCTTGATCTAGGGAATTGGATCTGTGCTCCAGTTCCCTAAATTAAGCCTAAATACCTTCCATCCCCCCCCTCACAGGTGCTGTATAATCCTACCGGTTTAGTGCTTCCCCATGATTACAATAATAATGATGTTTATCTGGTGCCTACAGCTTGTTTTCATCTAGTAATAAACAGATTGTAATAATGTTGGTAGAATTACCGACTATGTAAAGTAAAAGGACACAAGTGCCACTAATGTGACATTTTATAGTGGCAACGTTTCACTCTGCAGGAGCTTTGTCAATCTGTTACGGCTTGACAAAGCTCCTTGAGAGCGAAACGTTACCACAATAAAATGTCACATTAGTTGCATTTGTGTCCTTTTACTTTACAGTAATAAACAGGTAGTGTCTGGTGAAGTTCACGACTTGCAAATCACAAACAGCAAAAGTTATTCAGGCAGCATGCTCAGTGACTTGTTAAAATATAACCAAAAGTTATCTAACAACGTAGTTTAGGCTTAGGTTAGGTTAGAATATATTTGGTTAGCTCTTGTCAATAGTTTTAATATTAGCAGAAACATGCAGAAGACTCCTGACCAATCTGTGTCTTGGTAATGCCAGTGACATCACTGACATTCAGATAGATAGTTAATTAAGTGAAATTAGCCTCACTGCTTGGCTTTATGGGTCATATTAGGTTAAAAAGTAAAAAAAAAAGTAAGTTTTTATAGTGAAGTCCACCTTTTTTGTTTGGGAATTCTTATCCTCTTTTGTTTTCCTGTCCATAGTTTGAAATATAGTATTTCATTCCCAGGTACTAGGAGATTGAGTTCAATGCAGCATAAGTTATGGTACTCTAAACAATAATGTTTTTTGAGCTCAGAACCTGAGAATAAATAAAATCATCCTTCAGGGTTTCTACCTGTTTTACAAGTCATAAACAATTACAGACCGGGCAACAGGGGCACTGACCCAAGAAACCCTCTCCAGGTATACCTTTGAAATGACTTATATTTTATTATTTTTTTTATTAACACTTCGGCTGTCTCCCATCAAGGAAAGGGGACCTGTAAAAGAAGAAACACTTTATTTGTCATTCACTCCGTCTGTGTCTTACCTTGCCAGAGGCATGCCTACACTACATTTTAAAAAAACTGCAATGTATTAACACCCCTCCTTCAGAGTGCAGGCACTGCACTAACTATCTTAGGACTCAAGCCCAACTAACTGGGAATAACTATGTCAGCTGATCTTTCTTAAAATAAACTAAAAATAAAATAAAATAAAATATTCATTTCTTTGCTAAGGTTATAATGTGTGTTTACATATCTTAGGATGATTGGAGCAAAGAAAGCCACTGTCATGCCAAGGCATTTTGGGCAGACTTAACCTAATACTTGTGGACTACTTAAGTCTAGACAGGTGAAGAGTGGTAGAATACAAACAGTCAATATTCACTGAGTTGTTAATACGAGGTACTACAATTTATGAAAATCTCAATTTTTAAGTACGAAATTAGGTTCTCTTCCAAAGAACATAATAAGATAAAGGTCACAACAGCCAGGAGGATGACGGCGTGGGTACTGAGAACTTTGAAAACAAGGGAAATAATACCAGTGGTGACACTTTTCAAATTGCTAGTGTCCCCTCATTTCAGATATTGCTCGGTGTTGACAGCCTCGTTCAAAGCAGGAGATATATCATAGCTTGAGCAAATACAGAGATCGTTTACGTCCCACATGCAGCCAGTAATGCATTTAAATTTCTGGGAATTACCTGGAGTTTACCTGGAGAGAGTTCCGGGGGTCAACGCCCCCGCAGCCCGGTCTGTGACCAGGTCTCCTGGTGGATCAGAGCCTGATCAACCAGGCTGTTGCTGCTGGCTGCACGCAAACCAACGTACGAGCCACAGCCCGGCTGATCCGGAACTGACTTTAGGTGCTTGTCCAGTGCCAGCTTGAAGACTGCCAGGGGTCTGTTGGTAATCCCCCTTATGTGTGCAGGGAGGCAGTTGAACAGTCTCGGGCCCCTGACACTTATTGTATGGTCTCTTAACGTGCTAGTGACACCCCTGCTTTTCATTGGGGGGATGGTGCATCGTCTGCCAAGTCTTTTGCTTTCGTTTTTGAGTGATTTTCGTGTGCAAGTTCGGTACTAGTCCCTCTAGGATTTTCCAGGTGTATAAATCATGTATCTCTCCCTCCTGCGTTCCAGGGAATACAGGTTTAGGAACCTCAAGCGCTCCCAATAATTGAGGTGTTTTATCTCCGTTATGCGCGCCGTGAAAGTTCTCTGTACATTTTCTAGGTCAGCAATTTCACCTGCCTTGAAAGGTGCTGTTAGTGTGCAGCAATATTCCAGCCTAGATAGAACAAGTGACCTGAAGAGTGTCATCATGGGCTTGGCCTCCCTAGTTTTGAAGGTTCTCATTATCCATCCTGTCATTTTTCTAGCAGATGCGATTGATACAATGTTATGGTCCTTGAAGGTGAGATCCTCTGACATGATCACTCCCAGGTCTTTGACGTTGGTGTTTCGCTCTATTTTGTGGCCAGAATTTGTTTTGTACTCTGATGAAGATTTAATTTCCTCATGTTTACCATATCTGAGTAATTTAAATTTCTCATCGTTGAACTTCATATTGTTTTCTGCAGCCCACTGAAAGATTTGGTTGATGTCTGCCTGGAGCTTTGCAGTGTCTGCAATGGAAGACACTGTCATGCAGATTCGGGTGTCATCTGCAAAGGAAGACACGGTGCTGTGGCTGACATCCTTGTCTATGTCGGATATAAGGATGAGGAACAAGATGGGAGCGAGTACTGTGCCTTGTGGAACAGAGCTTTTCACCGTAGCTGCCTTGGACTTTACTCTGTTGACGACTACTCTCTGTGTTCTGTTAGTGAGGAAATTATAGATCCATCGACCGACTTTTCCTGTTATTCCTTTAGCACGCATTTTGTGCGCTATTATGCCATGGTCACACTTGTCGAAGGCTTTTGCAAAGTCTGTATATATTACATCTGCATTCTTTTTGTCTTCTAGTGCATTTAGGACCTTGTCGTAGTGGTCCAATAGTTGAGACAGACAGGAGTGACCTGTTCTAAACCCATGTTGCCCTGGGTTGTGTAACTGATGGGTTTCTAGATGGGTGGTGATCTTGCTTCTTAGGATCCTTTCAAAGATTTTTATGATATGGGATGTTAGGCTATTGGTCTGTAGTTCTTTGCTGTTGTTTTACTGCCCCTTTGTGGAGTGGGGCTATGTCTGTTGTTTTTAGTAACTGTGGGACGACCCCGTGTCCATGCTCCCTCTCCATAGGATGGAAAAGGCTCGTGATAGGGGCTTCTTGCAGTTCTTGATGAACACAGAGTTCCATGAGTCTGGCCCTGGGGCAGAGTGCATGGGCATGTCATTTATCGCCTGTTCGAAGTCATTTGGCGTCAGGATAACATCGGATAGGCTTTGTTAATCAAATTTTGTGGCTCTCTCATAAAAAATTAATTTTGATCTTCGACTCTCAGTCTGGTTAGCGGCTTGCTAAAAACTGAGTCATATTGGGACTTGAGTAGCTCACTCATTTCCTTGCTGTCATCTGTGTAGGACCCATCTTGTTTAAGTAGGGGCCCAATACTGGACGTTGTTCTCGATTTTGATTTGGCATAGGAGAAAGAAATACTTTGGGTTTCTTTCGATTTCATTTATGGCTTTTAGTTCTTCCCGCGATTCCTGACTCCTAAAGGATTCTTTTAGCTTAAGTTCGATGCTTGCTATTTCTCTGACCAGTGTCTCCCTACGCATTTCAGATATATTGACCTCTTTTAGCCGCTCTGTTATTCTTTTCCGTCGCCTGTAAAGGGAGCGCCTGTCTCTTTCTGTTTTACATCTACTCCTTTTTCTTAGAGGAATAAGCCTTGTGCATACATCGAGTGCCACCGAGTTAATCTGTTCTAGGCATAAGTTGGGGTCTGTGTTGCTTAGTATATCTTCCCAGCTTATATCGGTTAGGACTTGGTTTACTTGGGCCCACTTTATGTTTTTGTTATTGAAGTTGAATTTGGTGAATGCTCCCTCGTGACTAATCTCATTATGTCGGTCTGGGGCTCCGCGCATACATGACTGAACCTCAATTATGTTGTGATCTGAGTATATTGTTTTTGATATGGTGATATTTCTTATCAGATCATCATTGTTAGTGAAGATGAGGTCTAGTGTATTCTCCAGTCTAGTAGGCTCTATTATTTGCTGGTTTAAATTGAAATTTGTGCAGAGATTTAAAAGCTCGCGTGAGTGTGAGTTTTCATCAGAGCTGCCTCCTGGTGTTATTACTGCAACAATATTATTTGCTATATTCCTCCATTTTAGGTGCCTTA